TGAAACCTCTTCTGTTTCAGTTTGTGCCCATTGCCCCTTGTCCTGTTGCTGGACACCACTGCAAAGAGTCTGGCTCCGTCCTCGTGACTTCCACCCTTAAGATATTTGTATGTGTTGATGAGGTCCCCTCTCAGCCTTCTCTTCTTCAGGCTGAACAAGCCCAACTCTCCCAGCTTTTCCCTCGGGACAGTCCCGGGAACGGCAGCTCTGCCTGACGAGGTGCTGGCATCACGCTTCACCTCAACACGTCTCCTAATGCTTGTTGGGTGAGGAGTATAAAGCACGTTTAATTAACATGAAAACGTTCACCAAACAACGAGCACATTGTCCTAAAGTGGAAGCAATCTTGCAGCCCTTTCCAGAAAGCCAACAATTCCACCCGCTGAGCCTGAAAAGCACTTGCTGCTTGGCTGATGCACCAAAGGCCTAGCCCAGGGCAGCAGAGCCAGCGCTGCTTCTGCCCACAGAGCCACGCCACCGTGGCAGTGCTGCGCTCCTGGGTCATTGCAAGCTGGAGGCCAACCACTCCAGGCAGGCCAGCAGCGTCCACACCAGGCTCCCCCACAGAAAAATAATACGGCAATGGGCTCAATACAGACCGGTTCACAAACTGCGTAATAAAACACGAGCAGCTCATTGGAACAGCAGTTACAGCGCTCTAGCGCTTGGCACAGATGATGAGCTGTGTCATTAATGTAATATTTCAGATATTTCTATAAGTGGGTACTTATGGAAGGTGAGTGGGAATACAAACACTAAATCCAAAGCATGGTATAGAATCATAGAATCATAGAATCATAGAATGTTTTGGGTTGGAGGGGACCACTAGAGGTCATCGAGTCCAACCCCCCTGCAGTCTGGGATGCATCTCATCAGGTCCCATGGACTTCTGTGTATTCAGGTTCCTCAGGTGGTCACGAACCTGGTCTTCTCCTACAGCAGGAGGGGTTTTGCCCTCCCAGGCCTCCTCATGCCATCCATCAACTCGAGAGGGGTGAGGAGAGAGGCTGCCAGTGAAGACTGAGGCAAAAAAGTTGTTGAGTACCTCAGCCTTCTCCTCATCTGCTGTTACCAGCCTGCCGGTCTCGCTTATCAGCGGGGGTACACTCTCTTTAACCTTCCTTTTCCGGCTGATATACCTGTAGAATCCCTTTTTATTATTCTTTGCATCCCTAGCCAAGTTAAGCTCCAGCTGCGCCTTCGCCTCCCTGACCCCATTCCTACACAACCGGACCACTTCCCTATACTCTTCCCAGGATGCCTGTCCCTGCTTCCACTGCCTGTGCAGTTCCCTCTTCCTCCTTAGCTTGACCAGCATCTCCTGTCTCAACCACGCTGGTCTCTTCCCTTCTTTGCTTGATTTCTTACACCTAGGGATCGATAGCTCCTGCGCTCTGTGGACCACTTCCTTAAAGTATCAGGTATTTAGAAGTGTTTTGGAGCCAACAGCCACAGGCTGGTTTAAAATAGAAGACCCTCCCCAGAACTCTGACCTCAGAGATGTGCCAGGCAGTGCTGCAGGGTCATCAGTCTCTCAAAAGGCCCTTAGCATCAGTACACTGGCAGTCTGAGATAAATCTGTAAGATAAATAAAAAAGTCCTGAAATATCCTTTCAGAAGGGCACTGAGCGTAATGGTGGGAATAATCAGCAGCATTAAAATCTACTAAGTTAGAATTTCCCATTAGGAAAACAAACAAAAAAGTCTCAAGGTGTGTAAATATCTCATCTTCCCTGCTTGCTTTGATGTTAAAAGAGCAACAGGCCCAGATCAGCAGTCAAAGATGCCTGCAGATTAAGTTACACTATCACAGTGGTCTTATTCTCTATCACAGTCTGGTCTCCCTCTACCGACGCAGGTATGTTGCACCTAAACAGAAGAAAAAAAAACCGACCACAAAATAAGTGATCTGTCAGCTCTTGAGACAACATCGTGCACTTTTCAGCTTTCATGTGCTACTGCTGCATGGCACCACCAGCTTGTGCAAAGTACTGTAAGAATTCAGGGTCAGAGAAACATTTGCTTGCTCAGGTCATCAGTTCAAAAGCTCTGTGTAACACTAACGCATTTATTTTCTGCACCACGGATGTCTGAAGAGATCTCAGAGTAGGAAATACTGCTCAACCACCTGACAAACCTTCCACAAGCGCTATCCAGAGTCACATTCAATAACTGGCACTTGTGAGACCGTACTGTATTGTATGTCCAATTTCAGGCTTCAGTACAAGACAGACACTGACATACTGGTATGGGTCCACCAGCATAAGGCCACCGAGATGGGCAGGGAGCTAGAACAGGACATAAAGAGAGGCTGAGAGAACAAGGTACCTTGTTCAGTCTCAGGAGAAGGTTAATGTGGGGGAATCCAGTTTCTGTGGTCTCTAGTTACCCAGTGGGAGGAGGATACAGGGAAGGTCTCTAATGATCCCTTTCCCAGGGAAAATGACAAGATTTTCTACCAAAGCATACACACCTCCCCAGAAAAGTATTAGCCCTCTTTTCTTCAAAAACTTTTGGAAAACTAATAATTTGCTAGATAGAGTGTAATAGTTCACAGATTGGGAGCTTTCCAATCTTCTGCTGGTAAAACTTTCTCATTCACCTCCTCTCACCTCACTTTTCTGGAAGGTCAGTATAACAGACAGGCATTAGCTTCCCCAAACATCCCACTGAACTATTTACTTTCTTTTCCCACTCTGTTTTCTCCTTGACAGTAACAACAAAGTTCACAGTTGACTATACATTTGTGTTTCTGCTTTAAAATACCATAGCAGTCACTTTTGTCTTCTGATAAAAATCAGAAATAAACCTCTAATGGAGGCAGCACAGTCGTAAGACAAATCAAAGAAACTACATAGCCAAGACATTTAAGTTCGAACAACTGAAGGTACTGACAGTATTGTCTTGGATAAAGGACAAGGTTTTATAAGGACCACCTTTCAGGGCAGGGGAAAGAAAAGGAAAAAAAAAGATAAACACACAAACACAGTACACAGTTATTTTATTGAAATACTTGAAAAGGCCAGCAATGGAAAAATAGGTTTGTCATGAGGAATTAATGTTGGATTTACTCAATCATTAAAAAAGCTGTGTCTATAGGTAATTCTAGCCAGTTACAGAATGCACTGAGATCCATGCAACTAATATACTACAGTAGGATAGGCACTGTGTACTATTTTAGTTTTATCTTACACACAGCTTTCAACAGGTATGACTGACATATGTGAGAAATTAAACAGCAACCATTTTTGAATTATAAACATTTCTAATATACAAATTTGCTCATCTGATTCATAAGGGTTATAAAACACAACATAGTGGAAAATGAAAAACACGAATTACACAATAGCATATGAAGTTGATCTGGCAGTTTTTGAAGTTTACATTTTTCCTTTTAAAAGAAATACCAGACTGCTAAATATGTCACTGGTCATGTAACATACAAAAATCATAGGCCAGGACAGCAACAGTGACTTTTTCTTGAAACACATAGTTAGTGGGAAAATTTGTTCATTAGTTAAAAAGAATAGATAAGAATGAAAGTCACAAATTCTGCTTGGTATAGCTTATAGTCCAAAAACCATGAAGTCACTTCAGATGAATGTGAAATAAATAAGCAATCCTTGAGGACGTATGATCCTTGAGTTGAACCTACTCAATCGAAAATTAATTTCAACTATACACTAGTATGTCACCATGGTGAAACATCTAAGAACAATATTTTGAATAGCTTTTTGGGAAGCAACGTCTTACTGCTTTAATATGTACAGGTTATTTACAACAAATTCCCTTTTGGCCTCACAAGTTAAGCCATTTTAGCTGGCTGTTATGATGCAATTCTTTTTTTCCGCGCATTATGCAATACTGTAGTTAGAGCTATAATTTAAAATAATCTTATGCATGAATTACAAATATTAATAAAGTAACTCTGCATATATAAATATTTCTAGCAGAATTTAAAGCATTCAGAATGTACATAAAAGTTTTTTTTTTTATTTGGTAGTGCCCAATGTGCTTCTTCTCCGATCATCGTTGCTTTAATAATGCTTTGTACATAGCAAAACCCAAAACTGCAAAGACAGTAGCACCAAAACTTGCCCGGAGCCAAAATGTAGAGCTCTTGAGGTCCGCTTGTGTCACATGCCTAAAATTTAACACACATACAAAACCAGGTTAATTCCATGACAGGAATATCAGACAACTTGTGCTAAACTACTCTGCTTTTGGAAATTCATCACTACACTTGTCACAGGCAAGCAGCTTACACTTCAGCCTTATGAGTATTTATACAGTCATTTTACTTTCCTTAAGAGCTTAGGATTCGATCTGCAGCCCTGATCACATTAGTAGATCTCACTAAAGTCAGAGAGCTCACACAGCTGAAAAGAAATGCAGGACCAGATCATGAATGTGGGGAGGGCAGTGCATCGTCTTTGAGAGTACCAGCAAGCATTCAAAAAAGGAAAACAAAAATAGCCAGCAAATAATTAATAATCCATAGTGAGAACAACTCTGTCCAGCAAAATCTTTTTTTTTTTTCCAATGTTGAGTTTGCACATTTCTGCTTTTCCGTGAAAAACTTTCCAGTCCTGTTGAATATCTACTTATACTTCTTCCCCCAAAAAAGTTTACTGACAAGTAGCAAGTAATATTTTTCCAAAAGCTAGAATCAAAAGAAGCACCATTTGTACATCCCTTTCTTCCCAGTACAGTCACAAGAACAGCAATAGAAACAGTCATCCAATACCAAGCTGAAAGCTAAGAGAAAGTGCTAGTGGAACAAGCAGTGACAATGGCATCAACAGAAAAAGACAAAATGTAACAATAGTATGAAGTGACTGTATGACATAAAAAGCCACATCTTGCATGATAGTAGACAGCCAATGACCCAACTCTCCCAAGTATTGCAAGAAGTCTGTGAGCATGCTCAGTTAAACACGGCTAGCCATCCTCAAAAGTAGTCTCAAGTATGACAGCTTACCATAAAGCAGGAGCTACTGGTTAAAATAAGTTATCGTAATGCCATAATTCAAAGCACAAAAGTTCCTAAACAATAGTAAAGGGATTGTTTGTTTGTTTGCTTTTGTTTAAGACAGAACTTACAACAGAACTTCACTAGCCTATGTATTTTAACCTGTATTAATCATCGTGGGTTACTCAGTGAAAGCTGCTGGAGTATTAAGCACAAGGAGCATACAGAGATCCTAAGCATACACGGTGCACCAGAGAGTTCATATAGTGTGAACTGCAGAGCTATAGCATACAAGCTGTTTAATAAAGCAGGAATTGTCACTTGCTATCAAAATACACAAAACCAGTTTAGGATATTCTTTAGTAGACATTTGCAGGAGCAATACAAGCCATATAGGTAATCAGTGTACTGTCATACCACATGCTGAAGAACAGGCTCTTTAGTGTACAAACAGTGAAACACAGTTGGTCTCTAAAAAATCCTCATCTTATTTAATAGTATCTTGCTGGGTTATGGAACAGATCAAATTCATGAATTCCTGCAAGCATTAGTTCTTCTACAGCTAGTTTTGACAAACTCTCTGCAAACTAGAAGTCAAATGGTTTGCTGAGGGGAAGAAAGGGAAAAGGCAATGGCAAGGTCACCTTAGTTTGGCTGCTGTTACCTGGCTTCAAGTAAACGTGGACCAAGAGATGACTCCATGAAGATGGAATCTTCTACAAAGTTGACGGCGTGCACCTGCTGCATAATACTGCTCTCCTCGTCTGCTAACAGCATGGCCCCCAACTCATCTATGTAGGGTCTTAACCTTTTTACACACACGCACAGTTTGCAGTTCATAGCATGGCTCAACAACAGCAAGTGTCTCAAATATGCTCAAATGACAAAGCCCAGATTTATAATTTTTAGCCATCTAGCCCCTGATTCTTGTGCAGTTGTTAAAAACTTAGTGCTTGGGGAAAACCAGAAATAAATGGAATTTGCACTTTTGATGAACTAAGTAAAAAAAAATATGATTTTATGTAGCTAAATGCCATTGCACTAAGGACAAAGAAAACTGCTTAAGAAACCAAATCTCTTCCTGCTCCATTCCCAAGGCCTCAATTTTCATGTGTCAACAGGATACTGCAATACTCCTGCACCATACACACGAGCTGGAGTACCTGTGCTAAACACACCGAACAACCCCAACACACCAGCCCTCAAACTGACAAGATCTCATTACTGTTGATAATTCAATTAAAGACTGTATTTTGATCACTACTAAGAGCTTTAGCATGTGCGATTTTTGTCTTTTTAGTAAAATATACAACACATCTTCAGATCTGTAAATTATAAAACTTATCAGTGTATGTAAAATAAATCACTTGTATGTAACATGATTTTAATAGATTATGTGACAAGGTCTGTTGGGCGAATATTTGTATAACTAACAACTCTCAAATTTAATCTGGTTAATTCAAATGCCCAGCTATTTGTATAATTTAAAAAGCATCCCTTTAAAAGTGCAAATCACTTTAAATTGCAAATTAATAGTTTTGCATTGCCTCATAAAGCACTATCTCTCACATCTAGATTTTCCAATTCCTATCTATAATTTGCCTTGTTTTGACTTTTGCACATGTCCATATTTAATGGCATGCAGGAATCTTGCTGAGCACACTTCTTTGTTTTAAAAACTATTAATATATTCTCTGTCATGATAAAATCCTCTTTTCATGTCTAAAGTGAGCATAACTTGACTCTGATCCCTTTTCTAGGCCTAACAGTACTGACTCTTTCATTTAAATAAAGGAACTAAATCAAGCCAGGGATTCGTCTTATAACCTCAAGGAAATCTACTGACTTCAGTAAGAAACTATTAGGGCCCTCCGAACATCTCAGCCCACAAATCCAAAGTCCAAAAATCCTTACTGAAATTCAGAACACTATGGATGTCTAATTGCTTTAAACCTTTAAAAAAAATTTCAATTTTTCTTCCTTAAATGTTCCTTATGCTGTTGTAAATTCAATTTTTGCAACTTCAATCCCTAATATTGTTTAGCTGCCATTAAAGATAAAAAAAACCCCTCTAAAATAATAAGAAAGGGTCAATGTTTGTTTCCAGCACAGGTTCTTTGACATGAAAGTGGTTATAAGGCAGAAAAACATTTCTCAATGTATACTGAAAAATTCTACGTCTTCAACAAATAATGTTCAAATTTAATTTCAGTGTGGTTGTGTTTACAAAAATAATTTTCACCAGTGGTAGAAATTGTTGCTGCCTTGTAGGAAGAGAGTAACTCTGAATTAGAAAAAAATATTCTCTCCAAGGGTTAAACATATATGGATGTGCACATATACACATTCACAGTAGTAGCTCAGACTCCATAAATGAAGCTGTATTTGAAACTCTTGCTTATTAGTAATAATAACTAGCTTTCAAACTTCCCAAATAGATTGGTGTATGAATTCAATCATAGAATTAGTTCCACATATATAAGAAAGTCTAGAAATTTTGCCTTTGGCATAAAATTCAGATTTTAATGCATGTTTCGGAAAAAAAGACAGTTTTCTTTTTATTCAATCTACCCTTAACAGTGAGTCAAGTAACTTGTCGCTTGTTGAATAAAATCTTTGAAAGCTGTACAGTCTTTCTTTTCACAGGCTTTAACAACTCACAAGAAGTTTGCAACATGCACTTATCAAGAGGTTAACTGAGCATGCCTGTCATGGTTACACACAGAAAATTGCTGAGTTATGGGCCAATACTGACACTTTTCCCTATGTCATCAGCAGAAGAATCCCAGGTCTGGGAAAGTTTACCCTTAACTATAAAAGTTCAAAAACATTCCTGTAGTAACTACAAAAGCATTTTAAAAGCACAGTGGCAAGGCCAACAGGCTAGTCACATGGCTACTCACACCAAAAGTAGAAGCAAGTTAGTGCAGCCAGCAAGCAGCAGCAGCCTGCTCTGAGAGACGATAGGCTCCAACAATAAAATATAAGCAACTGAATTCCAAAAACATCGCGTAACGTGCGCAAGCTGCTGCAGCTTCCCTTCAGGCACATATTTTCCTAGGATGCAAACCACCTCCAGCATTTAGAATTTTCCCCCATGCATTAGTCATCTAAAATGTAAAAAGCTCCAAGCGCATCCTATTACCTACAAAACCTATAAAGAATGTAAAATGCCAATTCAATATTTTCTGTTTGGAAAGAGATCAGGGGATGCAGTTTTGCAAACTTATCCTGAGTATGGGGCATTAAACAGTTTAGAGAAGGAGGAAAATAGGCAAGTAAAATATTGTTATACTGTCCTAATTTGAGGGACATCTATGTAAAGGGATAGATTTCTGCAATTAGATTTAATGGCAGTATGCTACAGTTTTGAAAAAATAATCTGCATATCCTGCACATGGTGAAAAATAAATCATGGGTTACACTCTTAAAACTTTCCCATTACAGGAAAATGAAACTATTGTCTTAACTTTAATTTCACAGAAAGAAGGTTTTCATTGAAAAAAAATCTTACAAATAATTCCTGAAACCACCGTGTTCTATATGCAAATAGAACTTCATTTCTATTCCACAGTATTTAAAACCTTTATAAGAAAAAACATGCTCTGAGAAGTCTCCCTCACTGAACATAATTCTCATGCATTAGAATTATTTTATTTTTAAATTAACTTAGCTGACAGAAAAATGCCACTACTATACAAGCAAAAGGCAACAAGTGAATGATTTAAAACCAAGAAAGCAGAAAAACACACTTAAAATTGATGCTCTGGAGTTAAAAAAAAAAAAAAAGCCAAAAATCCAAGCTCATCATTAAATAAAGGGTTAGAATAACATAAGCAGAAACCTTGCTCTTAAAAAGAGGTGAAACAATGTAGTAAAAAGAGATTAAGTGCAAGCCAGACAAATACAAATGAACACCTAAAGGAAAGAACAAATTAAAAATATAAAAATACTACGGGATAGTATTAAGTCCCATACATGCACGTACAATGTTTTGAATGCAGTGCCTTCTTCCTCAAAGAACCAATAAAATGTGATCCTGGGTAGTTCAAACCAACAATCCCATTCCTGCACAATAAACATCTCCAAACTCAGTTCTACATTTGTTGAACTTGCCTTTCTGATAGCCTACAGACCCTGAGGAGAGTCTCTGAAGTTTGTCCACAGAAAAACTGAAGGTGGGCACGAATAGGTTTTTGAGTTGCATAGAGGCAACGTTCCTCCTTTAATTACCAACGTGGAAATATTCAGTGTGATACTGTATTGTGCCTTGGCAGCAGTGTTTAAGCATCACTTAGCAACAAGTAATACGGGAAGGGTCCAATCTGAAAAATTTCATTTTACCTACTTCCACTGCCTAAAGCTTCAGAATAGAATGATCAGGAGAATAAATACTCTTTGAGAAACCTCCTTTACCCATCAGTTGCCTAACTTTTGCCCAACTACCTGACCTAAAGGTAAGTACTTGTAAAGACAAAATAAGAAGTTATATAAACAAACTACATCAGAAAATCCTTCTTGATTCAAATGCTTTCTCTACTCTAATCACAAATCATTAGATTAAAAACGCATTTAGAGTAGCTGACATTTTTAATCAAGAAAAATATCTCTACCCTCCTAAGTTTACAGTTAGGAGCTATTCCCTCTTGTTTAGAGATATCTCAGTTCTACTACATATGCAGTTATACAGTAGTTCATGTACTGAATGGCAAATAACCTGCGGCAATGTGTTCTGTAAGGAAACACTCTTGAAGAGCTAACTAGGAAGAGAGTTGGTGAGATGAAGTAAGCATGCTGGAAACTTGTGACAAAACCCTAGTGACTAACTGAATAACTATAGCCAGAGATTCTAGCAAATAATTTTTCCTTTCTGTAGGGTCAGTGGAAAATGAGGAATTCTCCTTACCTTGAATTACAGACTTTTTTAGGCAGTAGTAGATGCCTATGTTTATTCCACACTATCTAGTGACAAGGTATGGAATGGCAGCATCTCAAGGCTTCTCATAAAAAGATTTCAATACCTCGAGTCCTTGACAGTATTTCAGAGGAATGATGGCTAATGCAGGACTCAAAAAAACCATAGGCCCATACAAGAGAGAAACAAGCCACGACAGCTAATGCAGCAACCCATCACCATCCCAAAAAAATGAGGATGTGTTACATATGGGATTTCAGCCTCAATAATGAAGAGTTGGGATTTTCTAGTAGTGACTGCTGAATGAAGTTTTAGAGCAACAAATATGCAAAGAGACTGCTGTTTCAAGGGATTTTTGTCTACGGGATAACTGCTGTAGAAGAGATTCAGCATCAACAGTCTCACTCATATTCACAGTTTTTTTCATAAGCTAATGAGTTTTTCACCCTTCTCTGAATTCACACTCTGTAGTTAACACTTTTATTTTGGATTAAAGTGGTGTTTCACAAAGATGCTCAATACTGTAGCTGGGTATATCAGTAGGCCTCCTATGTGCGTGTAACTTACACTTAAAGGAGACAGCTATTATTTGGAGCAACTGCATCTGAAAATAGTATGAAGTAGTAACATACATGGACCAGCAGCATGTCAGGATAGTCTAACCATGGCCTTCAAATAAACATATTTATCATAGATGCCTCCAAGAAGGCTATAAAGGATGGAACCACTGCGCTACAAAAATTGTTTGGTTTGAACTCCCATTTGCTGGGGTGTGATGACAAGTGCTGAGGTGTTAGTAAATCACGTGTGTCAAAAACTGCCTGCAGTACACACAAGACAAGGTATAGCACTGTTTTCAATGCTGAAAACTAGTTCTCTCTCTTTACCAATTGCTTTTTACAAAGCATCAGCAAAGGTTTAACCATTTACCACTTTTTACATGTTGCATTTTATTCAGAGAGGAATTGGATGTTAAAAGCTCTAGATTTTTTACACAAAATACCCACTCTTTGTGCAAACCAGGCATAACACACACACACACACAGAAACTCTGTGAATTCCCAAGTATCAAACAACTAGCAAATATAAACATGTAGTATGTTATACGATGCTTCTATAGTCAAGCTATGCCTTTATGAAAATATTTATGTAGCTGATACCCAAGAGGCACTACCTCTAATCAATACTAAGCAAACCTATAGTGTCTCAAGTGAGACACACAGATTTATAGATGCTACTTAATGTCCATTACCAGTTCCCTAAAAACATAGTCCTAATTTCTCCACAGTATTTTTGCAATCATTAAGTGCCTGAATCAACTACCAAATTGGTAATGTTTCAAAGAGACGTCTGGACTAAGCTCGAAAGACCAGAAAGTACCTTCAAGTTAAACAAAGTTTGACAATTTTATGACAATTATTAAAGTATGTATCTGCCTATTTAGTGGATATGGAGTGAAAAATCTGCAGTATATAAGGTTACCAATTGCTTTTTCAAAAAAACCTTTATTTTAAAAGCACACCTGGTACCTAGTAAATAAAGTTAAGGACCTGTTAAGAACTGCAGTGAAGAGTTTGTTCTTTACAGATTGCAGCAAGTCTGAGTTGAGGAAGTTCTGACAGATGCAAAATGTACACCTGTTGCAGGCGCACATACAGCGTAACCGGGCATGGCTGCGAAAACACACAGAAGGACAGGAGTTGAAATCTTGCTCATAAAATCAGGTGCACATTAGGACTGTGCCACAACCAAGAGAGATTTAGGAATAAAAGGTACATTTGAATGAGTAAGGAGAGGAGAAAAAAAAATAGACTGGGGAAGCAAGGGTACAACTACAGCTGTGCAGAATTTTAACGACAGATGTTCTACGTTGTGGACATTTTGGCATTACCACCATGCACAGATCTTAATAGCAAAGCACAAACATGAATGAAAATGTTTGCTGAATTTATTGAAGTTTGTAAGGAAAGCATCTAAAGGCTTCTGAATATGTCTGCACAGCAATAGATAACACCCCTTTTTCAAAGGAAAGTAAGCCACATGTTCTACCACTTTGAATGCACACTTTACAAAGTGAGTTACCTCTACCTCTCCCACCCTAACAAACACACATGCTTGAAAGCTAAGGGAGAAGCAAGAATATTGATATGACAAGACATTTGTTCAGTGCTACACTTTAGTGGTTTCCCAGTATTCCAGCGCTACAAAATAAATACAAGAGAATAAAAACAAAACAAAAGCTTTACAAATCTAATTCAGTAAGTTCAGGTTCAAATATTTTAAAAAAAAAAATCCCATTATTTTGGGTGAAAGTGACATTAGTTCTATTTAATTTAAAGCAAATGTCAGCTGTCATACTAGACTCCATCTGCTATAATATTCATGTAGTTAACACCATATTAAAAGCTCCACCCACCAAAAAAAGAGATGCAAAGTGAGCTTAGCAACAGTGAGATGCGTAGTGAAGAAGAACGTGAGCTTAAGTATCTTCTATCTGAAGACCAAAAGGTCTTTATACAGAAATTCTGTTTAAAAATATAACATCTATTAGATTAATGAACTGAAGCGTATAGTAATAAACACCCTGAAAATAAAAAAAAAGCTTCAAACAGTGCATTGGGGGAACTGTTGTTCACTAAAGAGTGTCATTACTTGCAATCAACTGTTAAGTTGAGCTATGAACAAGGATTACAGTACAACTTATTCACAAGTAACTCAAAAATACCAAGATACAAAATATCAACATATTGAGTTACGCATCCACAGTAAGGACAGAACTCTACGTATTCATTGGAATTTGTAACAGGAGTTGAATGAAGTAGTGTATTCTTTAAAAAAATACCTTAGCAACAATAGCTGACACTGATTTATATGTTGGATACAAACCAACTTTCTCAATTTGAAATAAGTTGAAGATTCTGCTCAAGTCACTTATGTCTCTCTGTTGCTAAATCTCAGTGAGGACGTTCCATCCTCGTGATTAACAATGACGTGCAGTGGTATTGTGCGTGACCCATGCAATATGAAAAATGTAACGGTTAAAGTACTTACGGATACATTGCCATAGTTGTCAGTTTAACAAAGATATCCTTACTTGGCACATCAACTGTGTTACAAGTAAAGGCTTGAGGTGGAGGCATTTTGTGTTTTTTGCAGAATTCGGCAGGAGAAATACTATATTCCTGTCTAACTTCATGCAAGTCAGACTTTGCAGCTACCACTAAGCATGGTATTCTGCTATCCATGAAGTGCTGCTGCAAATTTAGAGAAAAAAAGTGAAAAAAACAGTGTATGATACATTCAACCTGCAACAGCCTGAGTTGAACTGTTTGCAGTGGCATTAAGATATATTCATTGCTCAGAAGTCAGGCATTTCTAGAAGCAGAATATTTTATGTAGACAACCAAACGTTAGCTTTGTATGAATAACAAAACAGCATTTTTAATGCATCGGCCAGATATAACCAGCACTCATAAATAAAATATCTTTTAAACACTACAACTTTTGTATAGGACCGGTACCTGACACTGAATATTTGTCAGTGAAAAAATATATAAATGTATAGGGTGGATATATAAACTATACAAACCTTAAAAATCCTGGCACAGTACTCAAAGGACTTCGGGTTACTGACATCATATACCAGGCAGACAGCATCGCATATGGTTTCAGTGTCAGTTAAAAATTCAGCATCACTGACATCATGTAGCTGGAAAAAAAGATGGTCGGAGAGAGAGAAAAGCTTTGTCATTATGCAGTTATTTATAACTTCCTTTTTCTCAATTTTTATGGCTCATTTTTATGTATCCTTAGAACTAATGGACTGACAATAGACAGAATTAATGAAAAAGAAATAGTAGGAATTTATCATACAGCCAACATATGTGAGCTGTTAACATCACATCTGCAGGCAATCACAGCCTCAGCATAAAAAGTTACATTTACTTTAACAGAAAGTCTTAGATTCCCATAGAAATTGGCATTCATCCTACACAGGAAAACCACAGAGCAGAGGACTGGATCTTCGAAACAGAAAAACATATATTATCATAAAGGAAAACTACAGTGGAATGATCTTAAAGAAAGTATTTCACCCACTGAAGATTAACTTTAACCATCCTAATCACCCTATGTGACAGATTCTTCTTTACTGAGTAGGTAGATTGCTTGCTGATAATTTATCATATGTCATAATTTGATGCCCTGCAGCACAAACATTATGGACTGGGTTCTGTACAATTTAGGTCAAGGTTTCAAAAATAACAGGTCCTGAACAGGTTCAGTTTAAAGTATTAGCAACATGTAAAACCAGAAGTTATTTGAGCCATAAAAGGAGGTGGAGATCCATATTTATGAAGAAGAGACAATTAAAACAGAAACTTGTTTGCAGAAGCGTCTGAATAATTCACTGAATTTTAAGATTAACCAGTCATACATAAACAATAATAAGGCAACCTTACCAGCAAGTATTTTTCCTGTCCGTATACATAGACTGTATTAATGGCATAGTAAGATTTGTGTTCTGCACGTATTTGCCTCTGTCTCTGAAAATGCAGAATTTCATGTTAGACCACAGCAACTTGCCCTTTTAATCTAGATTTGAACAGCTGGTTTACTCCATTTATTAACGAATGAAAACTACAGTAATCTGTGGTTTATTTTGCAAGTAAAGGCATAGCTACAATCCATGGTGTACAAGTAATTGTTGCATAAAATAGCCATTTGTCTATTTGCTAAAAAAAACCCCCACACACAAAAAAACCTTCCCCACTGATTTTATGTTCCCTTATAGAACTCTCCAAACTCAGTAATAATTGGTAAAGCTCTAAGATCAATTGGTTTTGCTGTTTAACCTTAACTCAAATGCATATATAGGTGAATATAAGCAAAAGGTTTCTTACTATTAGATTTCTTCCAAGAAGAGCCTGAAGAACTCCACTTTTCCCACAGCCTTTCATGCCAACAACATTGCATCGGAAAACATTTCTCTGAGTCTGTTTTTTCTGGAGGTCTATCTTTTTATCCCTTGTAACTTTTGGAAAAAAAAAACCAAACAACCACAAATATTTTTCATAAGACAGACGTGCATGTATATACGTGGAAACATAAAATAATTGTCCACTTACATTAAAATGCACACAAAACAATAAAAGAATGTTAAATCAAAGGTTTGACTTGAGCATAAAGTAAAAAAGAATCTAAGTGAAAAAGACCATTTGTTTAAACAAATTTACTCTTGAGCAGATTTCTAAATTTACATTCCTAAATTCTACCACTTTTTTTTTTTAATTACCTGTAATTGCTGATGCTTGAGATTCTTGTTCTGCAAGTATCGAGTAGCCTAAATAACCCAGGTACTCCAAGCAACGCTGTACATCTAAGTACGTGGTTAGTCTAGCAGAGGGGACAAAAAGAAGTTTCTAAATTATTAGCATCTGTGATACCAATTCTGAAACAATTTTTACCTCCACCTCCTATCTCCAGACTGACAGGACAGAAGTATTCCTGGCAGTATGTAGTACTGAAGGACAAAGCACTCTGAGGGTAAATGGTGGCAACTTTAGCAGCCTTAATAGTCAGCAAAAGACTATGAAGGCAGTACTTGCTGAGGCCTATCAACCTACACCATATTTTTTTTCCTCAGCAAATAATGTTTTTCTCATCTTCTGTACTTTCAATAGGATAAAAACCTCATTATTGAACATCGTTATTTCATACCATCTCTGAAGAGTAGAACAACAGAAATAAATAGACAAGTTTCAGGGAGATTTCCACAGTTTGAAGAGACACTTCTTCACAGTTAGCACTAAATACTGGCCAAATCCTGAACAGGTTATAACAACTATCTGAAGATTAAGCCACTGGATGGCTATAAAGACGTGACAGCTTGGGTCAATTTTCTCACTATTAAACTTTCACTCTTTCTACTAGATTTTTAAGAAGAATCTACAACCACATGATCATATCAAAAGCTCTCAACTAATAAAATGTAACATATCACACTTACGTCCACTGAGAGAGAAACCCTTGGTATGTAATCCACCCCCTTTCATTTGTACAAACAGTGTTGTTAACATCAGGTCCCCATGGCATATAAGGGAAGACTTTGAACAAATCTTTCAATTCATCAGGAGACAAAGCACAATCTCTATCCTGAAAACAAGCATATGAGATTAGGCATAAATCACTTAATTCATGGTTATTCTAAACTGATATTTTCTTGCTGTATGTTTGCAAGATTAAAGAAACTAGCTGTAAGAAACTGAGCTGCTTTCTTTTTAATCATTGTTCTTTTCTTGTTTTTAAATAAGACTAAATATATAAGGTAGTTAAAAAAATTTCGTAGTACAACTGTAACTGCCTTGTAGACAGCAGACTAGTTTTGACTGCAAAGCTTAAGCCAGAGGCAGTTTCTGAATGAAATGACATGATGACAAAAACATACTTTTTGCTAGCAAAATTACTAGCAAACTAAGGCTCTTAAGTATAAGGATGCATGCACTCTCAAATTAAAAGCTTACCAAATCATGTTTATCAAAAATACTTTGAAGAAACAGGTATGCATGATGATTTAATTCTGTGGTGCAGTCTGGAGGAATTTTTAGCCTGTTTATTGAAAACAAATACAAGAAGTGTTAAGCGCATTTATGAAAGAGAGAATATTAAAACTCAAAATACTGACTTTTGGAATTATAACACTTGGTATTTGGCCTTTGCATTTAGCTTTATTAGTTTATCTTTAGAGAAATCAAAGCACATACTTTTTATTAGGAATTCTAAAATTATGAGTGAGTGTCCTTATATTACATGACATATAACTATATAATAATCAGGTTTTGGTTTGGTTTATTTTTGTGGGATTTTGGGGATGTGTTTTTTTTTTAACAGAAAATTATGTAGTTACATTTTTGAAAAGAAGAGTTGGTTGATCTCTTAACTTTTTAATTTGGGGATTTTCAAAGGATCTCAAATGCTATGAAAATACTGACAAGCCTTTTCTAATTTGTTGCCACATACAATAAGCAACTGCTCATATTTATGTTCCAGTTTTGTATGAAGAGCATCTTTTGCCATCTTTCTTGTAAAGAGAGATAGCAGTACATGATTTGGCACAAGACACAGGAATTCCTCCTTTGTAACTTTCAGTCACATGAAGTTTTTGGCTGGTAGGTCATAAAGTAAGGGAGATACAATGTGTTAAATAAACACGCTATTATAACCCCTTCCTCCTCCCAAAGCAGGAGGCAGCATAAATCAAATGCATGTAAGTTAAAGAAAGCTAAAATAAGTGATACATACGGAGGAAACAAGTACTCTGGTGTAAGCTCTAAGTCATCATCATATCCAAAGCGACGTAAAACAGTCCAAGTTGTTTCGTGTCTTCCTCGCTGAATAAAAAGTGTGTGTAGAAAAAGAAAACCTAAAAATCAAATGATGAAATCTTAAGGCCCTGAAGTGTTTTATCTGCTACAAGTATTTTTAACAGAATCGGTACCGGACTGAAAATAATAGAGCTTGAAATACAAATAACATGATTTCTGGACCTTCAGTCTGTGTAGATAATGCTGTAATGTCACCCAGGAGGTTTAAAATCTGAATGTGTAAGTGTCCTTTGAGGAACTGTTTCCTTAAAAAAAACCCACTTGGTTTTCTGTTGTTGTTTGCTTCTTTCAGTACCAGCATTTTAGAAGAATTTAGCTGTATGAAAATAAAGACCATGATATTTTCAACAATTTAAAATAATAAGCCTTAGCAAGAAGCCTGGAGAGTAGTCTTGTGGAATATTGCCTTTAGTTTTCCTGTATCAAAATAACTGGGTAGGATTTTTGTTTAGCACTTTCCAGGGCTTAATGAACACTGAGATTTCACTGTTTAGTAGGGCTATGCCTTAAGATTCCCACTCTTTTCACATGTAAGCTCCACAAGCAAAGCAGTTATATTGATGCTCAGAAAGAAAATGGTTTTTTCTTCCACTTTTGCCATATGCTCTTAGCAAATCTGTACAACATAGCTGTTAAAATGGTGACAGACACCACACCTTGCTGACAAGCATTACAGATAGTGAGCCTAGAGACAAGATACAGATTTATCTAGCAGACAGTCTCTTTTGAATGAGTATGCTTAGTTGGATTCCAAGCTCTGTAATAAGGAGTAAGAAAGACCTTATTTTATTCACCCCAGTGTTCCTCAGTTTAATCATCCTTTGATATCATACTGCCACTACACCTAGCTCTTGTAGTCTAAAAGATCAAGATAGAGATCATGTTCCAGAAGACAAGCTTTTTTATGTAAAAATTACCAACTGCAAAAAAGACATAGAACTTTTAAGAGTTAAATAAGGCTTACCTTTTAATGTTAATCCATTATCTGCAACTCCATCACTTAGGTTTTTCCTGACTACATTCTTTACATCTTCCAAAGCTTGAGGTGCCAGTGGCGTATTAAAACAAATTCTCTAACAAAAAACCAAAAATAGGATGTTATAACCACTGGCTACTAAGCTGGACAAACCGCATACCCTATATGAAATACAGCCTTAAATGTTCTGATAAGCTAATAAAGGACAATCCATTTTCTTAGTGGAAGTAAAGGTGTACAAACTTTATTTTTTTTAAATGCAAGAATTGGGGCTTGTTCATTTAAATAGATTTTTTTTATTTTTTTTTTGCTCTGGATCTAAAACTTGAACAATGGTTAGAAATAAAATTAATACCATTCCCATTTTTACATATCCACGCTTTTATGCTGCACTTAAGACTTTTAGTATTTAGACCAGATTCCCTTATAATTCACCTTACTACTGCTCCTTCAAAACCACTTATTTTTCTAGAATTATATAGATCAACTATTAAGCATGGTGAAAAGATAAGCAAAAGACTTACCTGAAAGAAGTTGAGCTCTGCATCATTGAGAGTACCATCATTATCCTGATCAGAAATTCTAAAAATGCGAGTGAGTGCTTTAATACAGGCAGGTTTCATCTAAGGAATAAAAGAAAGTTCAGTATCTTTCTAGGCTTGAATATAAAAAGATTAGACTGAATGACATCAGGCAGCTCAATCACATTAAAACAAATACTAGCCTTCATTTTTAGAACAGAGACATTCATACACACATACACAAAAATAAAAAGCAAGAGGAAACAAAATCCTGATCTAGCAAATTTATATCCATAAATTTAAAGTAATTATTCCACATTAAACTTCTTTCTACTTAACTATTAGAGGAGCCTAAAGCTCCTCACAAGCTGAAGGTGGCACTATTCAGCTATTAAAAAAAAAAAAAAAATCAGTTCTCTAAATGTGGTCTTATTGCTAGAGAAAGCTTTAAAAAAACCCATCTGAATGATTCTTTTCCCAAAAAATATCTTTTGGTAGGGAAGTAAGAGAGGCCTTGCAATCCCAATGGCTTGCAAAAATAAACAGCTCTAGAACTACAGTCAATTCTTTCTAAACAAGCACACTATCTCTATTCACTATTTCAACTATGGCCTCAGAAGGCTTCAGATATCAAATACTGAAAATGTTCACAGGGCTCATTCATCTACGAGGCAAAGCATTAATCATATGGACTATCTCTACGACAAAAGAATTGCTGGGATACCTTCCAAGTGAAGGAAAACAGACAGTGGTAATTCTCTCCCAACAACTACAGTGATGATGGACTCTTCTCTTCATAGGGGTCACACAGATTGCATATAGATTGGTTTTGGAAAACCAAAAAGATTTCAGCACAACAATTTTATCACAATATTACTAACTCATAAAGATGATTCTGATGGAAGAAATCAAAACAGGGTTATTCTCTGGTTCTCTACTTAACAAAGTATTTAAGATTGAAGCAACTTTCCTACTGCCCAATACTACACGGGGGTTACATTTAGAGATTTTATCTGTATTTGCCCATGAAATTTATTTTTAAAAATAAAACCATACTCCTCCATAATACTTTGAGCTAACTACCTGTGATACTTAAAAACCAGCCACATTACTTGTTTCTTATCCCTTTTGCCAAAGTCTCGTAAGGTGCTCAGAAAAGCTCCTTCCCTTAAATCAAGCCAAGTCTGGAGCAGTTTCCCTGAAATAAATGGAGTTGCTGTGAAATGAATATCTAAAAGAGAACTGAATTGAACACATGATTTTGTTCTCATTACATCGAGTTTAAAGCCATTACCAAAGCTTCTCATTTTACTTCGCAATTCACATGAGCAATAAAAAACTGTCTTCATTGCTTTGAATGAAGAGGGAAGACAGATCAGAGTAATAAACACAAAACAATCACCATGGATCTGGAATATAACGTTTGACATTTGGAGGTGGGGTGGTGATAACAGAACACACTACGAAATGCAAAATCCACTGAAAAGGAAAGAACAGGAAAGTGTTAAAGCTCCCCCCCCTATATAATTTGTTCTATATATAAATACCTCTTTCTCCTCTGGGCAATAAAGAGGACCTGTAGGATGTAGAACAGCTTTCTGTGCATAATAAAATAGCTCAGATATATTCTTCAAGTTTTTGGCTGAACACTGAAAGAGAAATCCTTATATTGGTTAGCTAGTTTCTTGACTATTTGGTGATTTCTTCTGAAATTTAAGCAAGCATGAAACTTTTAAAGATCTAGCCCCCTCTTGTGGGTACAGTGCTGTTTTGGAAAAAAGACATCTAGCCCCTGTAACTGTTCAGCAGTTAATAAAGGAGCTCTGACTACAATTTGCTGTCATATCAGTAACAGAGAAATCAAAAAGTTGTATCTACTTTGAAAAAAAAAAAAAAAGAGGCATACCTACATATATCAATTCAATTTTTAATATTTTGCAGACACCTGCCTGATTTAATATTAAATTTAAAACATGTGCTAAAGGCAAGGATGTGAGGAGGTCCTAAGTATTAGAAGAATTTGACAGCAACATTTGATTATTCAAGAGTGTAATCTTCTCTAAAGAAAAATAACATATAAACTCACCGTCATAATGACTTATATTTGAATATTTTATTTTGAACAACAACAAAAAAATCACCTTTTCTAGTAAAAAGTTGCCATACATGCTTGGCAAGAATGTATTTTTTGTTACTCATTCTAACTTCAGAAAGTCTTGCATACCTCTACACATGTTTCTATCTCTGTATATTGATTCATAATGGGAAGGATAGTTTCCATACTGCTATATTCCACTAGATCAGACTTGTTTCCCACTAATATAAGCGGCAGCCTGAAAACAAAAAAAAAAAACGTGAAGAACTTTAATGACAGAGGGATAAAAAGATCTATCTTAATTTAGCATTCTACCTCCCACCAGAAGCCCTTGTATTATTTTCATGATGTAATTAAGTATCACTGGCAGCCAATAGGCAAAACTAAACGATAGTAGTTTTAAGTAAATTGTTTTGATATACACTTAAGACAGAAATGTACTTCTTGTTGATACTACAAAACCCACACAGTTAAACACAAAAGTAACTGATCATATTATTATTAAACAAAACCTGCATCAGTAGAAAACCTATACAGACCATGTAGCCAAAACTAGTTACATTATAACGAACATAAACACACCTGGTAAAAGCTGCCCATGAAATTCAAAAAAAATAGCATTGCTGGCATATGTAACAGACCTACATACTTTAAATCACTTGTTGCTTGGACTTCTTATCTAAACTTTTAAGTTTAGAATTTGATTTTCTTAAACAATTAACATCCTCAACACTGTCCATAGACACCCATCGATGTGCAGCCTAATTCACACTTCTCATCTTTACTTATGCACCTGCTATCTTTGTCTGTCCTTTCATTGATGAGAGGAATCCATCGACTTGTTACCTGAAGTGGGGTTAAAAACAAACATGAAAAATACATTTTCAAATTTAGTATGACTGAACTGTGCACAAGTTCAACTACAACTGCTACTGCTTCTTTCCCAAGAAGGCATATTTACCCACAAAGGAGGAGACAAATAAAAACTGGAGTTGATTAATGAACAACTTTCTCAGATGACTGAAATGACTGAAAACTCAGATGTTTAAATGGACCAGAAGCAATAATACATCTGTATGTCCTCTTAACAACTTGACCTCAAACACCATCTTATGCCTTTTATATGTCTAATACAGTTTTCAGCTTGCCAACAATTTACAGTGCACAAGTTGCATCTCAAGCAATAACTGGGTAAGATGTGTCACCATACCTTATCAATAGAATTCTTGTTGTTAACAGCATATACTATACAAATCACATTTGCCTAAAATGAAAAGAAAGGAAAGCCATGGAATTCCACTGTCTCTAGAGCAACAGAGACAATTAAGAACCACATGTAACACCATCAGAGCAAAACAGTTACACCATTAGTCAAAAAACGTCCCCCTGTCTTGTTTAAGCTACTTGTAGCCTGACAACAGCTTAAATGAAATAATTTCTATGTTGAGAAGTGCCAAAAAGCATGTCCTTTAGCGTGACATCCACAGCTTATGCCTGCAGAGGGACCAATGCTACCAAGAAATCTAAACTGAAGAATCGTAATTTGTAGCCTCCACTCAAGTACCAAAGTAAATGCCAGAAATAGAACACAACACTGTGACAGACTGTACAGAAAATGTGCAAAGGTACTCAGAAAGAACTGAAAATAGGAAACAGAAGGATTATAAAATTACCAAGAAACCCCTGCTATTCATAAATGCAATACAACAACATGACAGAAAGAAACAAAATTCATCTTTCCAGGGTAGGATTATTTCTTTACAGTGCCTTGGCCTACTGATTAAAATATATTTAGGTTCTGTCCTTTCCCTTGGAAGCACAAAGCTTAAGCTCAATTCACCAACACAGTGGCAGTACCTACTTTTCTTAAACAGAGGAAGGTTTACTATACCACAGGGCACAAAACAAAGCTAAATTAAATGCCAAGCAAGAAAAAGCAAGAGAGGTTGGGATTTTTTTCCATTCAAACTGAAGCCCATCTAATGCAGAGAACTTAAAAGGGCAGATTTCTCCAAAAGCAGAAACTATTTTCCAGTAAACACTAAAATACACTTACCTGTGATATTTCATGGTAAAGCTGCTCATCACTTTGCTCTGCTTCTGCGTTCAATAGAATAAGCCATTCATTAATATTAGACATTTTTGTGAACAAAACTGAAAAAATTAGGGAACTGAACTAGGGTATTTCATAACGCTCATAAGACAACCTTGTGAAGGATCTTGTTATTTAAATGTCTTTTTATAAAATGCACTAAAGAGTGCTTCTACTGTAACAATAATTAGATTGATCCATTAACTTGCAAGACAGAAACAGCCTGTTGCAGACAAGTTTTTTAGTAGCTATTTTAAAGAGGAATAATTACATATGTAGACAGGTTCTCTCTGGAATGAGTCACAGTTTGCATGCCCCTACATTTATCAACAGCCTCTTCCTGGGATAATAAGTAGCAACATCGTTCTAGAATGTAAACTTTTACAACAGAATATGACATCTGTTCGTTTTACAGCAGTGTCAATTTTTTTTTTTGCAAAACCAAGCTTCTGTTAACTGAATTTATTAAATGCTTCATGCAACAGAAAGAAAAACTCACTCTACATAAATTTAAGCTCAAGTCCAACAAAAAAAAAAAAAGCATTGTTTCTTTGTTCCAAATAGGTAAATACACTAAAGGTATTTCCTCAGCAGGGGTGGGAGAGAGAAGACAGGAAGGTATCTGCTAACATGGCCTAATTCTTGGCTTCTATTATAAATGCGGAAGGGTTTTTCTAGCTGTGCAACAGATGCATATCAAATATGAACCCTGATACTGAGCCTATTTATCTATTCAGTAATGTCAAGGAGATTAGAATATATCAAAAACCAAATATACAAAATATGAAACTGTCACAAAAGGGTAAGATGTCCAAACTCAGAAATTTAGAAAGACATAGAATATAAGGTATGTAAAGTCTCCTGCATCTTAGTAAATTCTTCTCTGAAAGAAAAAAAAAATAGTTTTTAACTCCATGAAAGTACCCACCTTTGTCTGAACCTATAAACATGTCCATGGCCAAAAGAACACTACCTTCACTGGAATATTGCTACAACTGTCTTTCATGGAAGTACCAACAGCAGTTAATGTTAGGCTTTGAATTAGTAGGACCAGCCATCATCATCTGATTTAGTTTTATCCCACGAGTTTCTATTTAATCTAGTCTTTTCCTACATGTAGCTTTGGTCCCATACCAGTATGATTGTTAAAGAGGCTATTGAGTTAGATAAACAGTTCCCTACCAAATCAGTCAAACAGTAACGGTATTGTGTAGTCCTTACCTGAATAATCCACTATGTGGGTTGGCACTCTTTCAGGGGTGACATCAGCTGGAATGGTGATTTCTTCGGCTCGTGGTGGAACCTTGGATTGTAAAAAAAAGCAAGAAAAAGCCTTTAAAGATAATCCAGAAAATCCAGATGGTCAAAAAAAAGTCGTATATTATAATACACCTGCCAATTAGTCAGCTTTAAAGAGAACAACTTATGAGTAGTTCAAGTACTTTGGGGTGGTTTTGTTGGTTTGGTTTTGGTTTTTTTGCAAGGTACAGAGTCACTGCTACTTTCTCATTCTTTATTAGTCTACTTACTGAATAAGGAACTTCCTGCATGCTTTGCAAGAGAGCAATGTTGGGAAGGGATTCAATGAAGCTTCTATAAAACTCAAATCCACAATACCCAACCACCTAGAGAGAACTATTATAACAGTGAAAACTATAAGCAAAACCTGAATTGCAATTTACTTTAAACAAAAATGTCATATAAATATGAGTTCTAAAACTTGGGGGGTTATCAAATTCAACCAATTACTTCAAAGAGCTACACATTCTTTAGCAGAAGAGTAACATCAGAGTTAGCATGCCATTACTGAAAAATTACATACCATTTAATCTATATTTAAACATTTTAATTTTGCACAAGATATCCTGATCCTACTCCCACTGAAATCAGTATAAGAACTACCTCTGCAAACAGTGCATGAGTTGTTTAAAAAAAAAATGAAAATTCAAAATATGGCAAACAAGCATGACAGCCAAAATACAAATCTCAATTTTTACATAATCATAACCTGACAAGTTCCTTGCTTCTGACAGAGCGCTAAACATTAAGTTCAGAAACGCCTGCAAAGCAAAACATGACACTAATAAAAAGTGTGTTCTGCAAAATGTACTGCAAACTAGCTATGATTGCTGGCCATTTTTTCCAGAGAACACTAATCCATATTCAGGAAGAATCAACTTAAACCTAATTTTAATGAAAACTTCCTAAACAGCTGTATATTGCCTTTTACCTGCTGACCCTGAACTTCCATGATACTTTTGTTTTCTTTTAATAAAAAGGAGAAAAGAAAAGCCAATCACCAGAAGAATGGCTCTTTGTAAAGCTTCAGGCTCTACTTACATCTTCATCAGGAATGATTACTGATAATACCCAGTATATTAATTTCTTTCAAAGTCTGAAATGTCCATTACACACACCCATATAGCTCCGATCTGCATGACTGACCTGCAGGAATTGTACATGTCTCTTTCAGCAGTTTATACAGGATGCAGTATTTTTTTCAGTTATTTCTGTCATTTCAGGCAGATTTTGTATTATATATAAATGATGCTTTTTCTCTCAATATGAGTTTAGAGAAATATTCTAGATTATACAGCAGGAAGAAGCTGTGAAGTGAATGGAGGCCTACAATTCATTAAATACATCAACAAACAACCTGTCAAAGGAACGGGTCCCTGAACAGTTTAAGAACAAATAGAAACTAGAGCTCCTTTTTACCTGCAAGGTTGGGAGTTAAATTCAATTATGTTAACAATCTAATCTTGACTCACGAACTGTGGTAACCTACTGATTTGCATTAAACACAGCACAGTGTAGATTCAAAGAGCAGCACGTGATGCCTATTTTAAGACTTGTGATCAGAAGAAATAAACATTCATGTTTGTATATAAAAAGCTTAACTATTTGCAGCAGTCGCAGTTCTTTTTATGGTCTAAAGAGAACTATGTGCTGGTTTTTTAGAGGAATAAAATTTAGAAGTAGCTTTACTTTTATTCTGGAAGGAAGCACTAAGATTTTTTGGCATTTTTTACTTCAGAAGAATCAGGAAGATGTTCTTCAAAAATAGAAATAAAGGAATGTCTCAGTTAAAAAAAATTGGCTAAGCTAAGTTTTACAATGTGACTTTCAAATTCCTCAATCTACTTGCTCTTTAAATACAACACTCCAAAGAAATCTGAGTATCTTGCCTCTTTCAGCACCTTCCCATTTATGAGTCTCCAATGTTGAGATACCTGGCCAGTTATGACCAGTTTCAACTGCTTAAAAAAAAAAACCTTAACATTCCTCAGATATAAAAAAAATAGTTTAATTAAGCATGTGAGAAACAAGAAATGAACCTGATCTTCACACGGAGGCGTAGTTACAACTAGCCTATATCACACTTCCAGAAGTCATCATTGCAGTTTTAGACTTTATTTTTTTTTCTAAATAGGAAACATTATTTTAAAGCAGAGCCCATTAACTTACTCTTTGAAAAAAAAAAAAAAATTGTACAACAGGATAGAAATAAAACATAGAAAACAAATAAGGATGCTCTACCTCTTCAGGAAATTCTTCGCTGACAAGAGACATGATTAAGGATGTCTTCCCAACTCTGGCTGCAAAAGCATTAAAAACAGAGATTAGATAATTTGGTTTTGTTGCACTTGATAGTTGCATCACATCTTAAATGGGAAGTATTTTAAAAACATCTTCCAACTAACCATGTTAGAGGCTTTTTATCTGCTGTTTAAATGTACTAAATGTGGATAACAGCGATTCTCTCATAATTCTTTAGTTGTAAAACCTTAGGATCCATTTCACACTTCTGCATTTCATCCAGAAGGGAATCAAATCCTGCTCTGTCTTACACAAAAGAGTTACAGCTTTTAACCTGAGTGCGGAACACTGAAGCAATCAAACAAACGAAAATTCAAAACAAACCGGAAATGCATGAATACAACTTAGTAAATAGAAACAAAGAAAGCACAGAGAAAGGCATTTAGGAATTAACTATTTTTATAGTATTCTTGATACTATGATTGTGCTTCAGTCCTAAACTACCAAGGATAAGAGCTGTAAAAGAGGACATGGCTCTACCATCAAAGGACAAAGTCCCCACAAACTAGTTCAACTACTTGAAAAGTGCAAGAGCATCATCTCCTTGGTACAAATGAACTGTCCCTCACTAAAAAGAGAAAAAAATGCCAAACCACCAACCCTTTAAAGTCACATTTTTCTTAATCCAAGATGATCATCATCTCTGCTTCAATATTCAACCTGTATTCAATCAAACAAATGACTCCGTTTACCTGCAAACTCCAGACTTCTGATACCACTGCTGGATTCTTTGGTTTTGAGAATCTTTAATGTGACCATTTAAAATTAAGAGTTGGTAACTTTCCTCACGGTTCCCTTCTCTCTAAAAGCCTCGATCTGTCAACTTTCTGTTCCTTTGAAAGCCTTGAAAGACTTTTACTGCTTTATTTGTTTTTGAGACATTTCTTAAAAAACCAGAATGTTCAGATTCAGATATCATCTGGAATTGTGTATTTCTGACAGCCCTCAATTCAAGCAAAACACTACTTCATCCTGAACATACAGCATCTTCACTAGCATGCGTGTTTTACCAACCAAGACATTGCTCGCAATCAGTCAGAGCCTGCATCACCATTCCTACTGAAAACAATGTAAAATGTCACCAATTGACAGAAGTTGTTTTGCTACATTTATACTTGTCTATTCAATTGTATATAATTCTGAAAATGGGAGGAAGAAGAGGAGATGAAACTGTAAGACTGATTGGTTTTGTGCACAAAATGGTATTACTGAACTGATGACCTAGTCAAAGCACATTCAACTTATCCAAGTCTATTTTTGGTATAGCAACAAAGGGCCTTCTGACATCCAGAAATAAAAGCTTCTCTTCATCGTGGTAAGTTAAAGAGTAGTTACCACAAAATCATGAAAAGCAAAGAAAAAAGTATCCTGGGGAGGAAGACTTTTGTTTTCCTTAAGGAGAACAGTTGTGAATTTGTCACCAGTGGTATTAGCTGGAGAGCCGTAAGATGCAGGTTTCTTAACAGCAATATGGTTGTGTTTTCATCAAAGATACTCATATAAGCTAAAACCATAATTTATACTGCCAGGTGTCCTCCTTTATAAACCACATCTTAAGTTTCATCCTGACAGAATCAAAAGACCTTTAAAAGCTCTCCTATTTCCATAGATAAATACTTTCCTGATAGGAAAGTTAAGTAATTAGATCATTACTGAAAATGGTGCAATGTATTTTCATCTGACCAAGTCAGCTTTAATTCGAAATGGTGACGAAACATGTTGGCTTTGAGATATAGAAACTCATTTTATTAATGTTATATGACTGAAACAGAAGATTATGGACTGCCAGTTAGTAAAGATGTACAGAATTTATAAGCTTCTAATGCACTTCCAAGTGTTCTAGAGGTGTTTTTATGAAAATCCATAGGTTCAAGTGTAGAGATTTAGTTAATTTTGCTTGAATCTAGGTCAACGACTTGCCTTTCCAATTCTGTTTATAGTCGTAAAAATAACTGCCTAAGCAATATCGGCTGACTAGGATGAAGAAAACAGCACAGCACTATGTGATAATTAACTCCTCTTTTTCCTCCTATTTAAGTATTTTAGGTCATGCTGCATAAAATAACACGCCTAACATTCTGAAAATGATTGACTATTAAAAATTGATGTTTGTACCCTGGATACTAGGACTAAAACAACCTTAAACCTAAAATGTAGACTACTGGGGATGAACAAGGTTGTGTTTTAGAACAGGCTTACAACAAAAGGTCTTCACATATTTCCAAGTCTGAACCTGACCGTCTGCTGTTATCATCTAACAAGTATTACATGGTCTAGACTAACTTGTGGTTTCAGACTGATATATATATAAAAAAATGTATACAAAACAGTACTAACAGTATGACAAGTTTTACCAATTTGTAAAACAAATTTCTCCCTTCTGTTTGTTACAATTCCAACAAAAATACATTATAAAGATGCTCTCAACTTCTGATGTGTGCCATGTACTACATGTTGCTATATTTAAGAGACCTGTATCTTTGAAATTTTCAGTTGCACACATTGTGAACCTAGTGGCCAAATCAAAGTACCTGTTACACCTGTACTGAAACCACTGTACAGAGCCAGCTCAGCACAAATCGTTGCCACAGAAAGGTAAATTAGGCATGTATTCTGAAGAGGAATTCTACTGTGTGTTCAAATGCACAAATACATTTCTAAATAAACAGAGTCTTGTAAAACTAGCCACACACAAGCGTAATGAGTTAGCTCCTCCTGCATAGTACTATCTCCGTGAAGATTCCTCTCTAAAGAAGTCATAGAGGATCTTTCTACGCGGTATAGACAGAGCTAACCTGTACTATAAAATAACTTCATAAACTGTACTATAAATATATATGAAGCATTCAATTATCAGGACAGCTTTGTTAGTAGCACAAGATTCTTAGTATAATTAGGTAATTTTACTAAGAACGCTTAGTAATTACTCTGCATTCTTCTGTGAGGAACTTAAGCACACTTTACAAACTAACAAAACAGAAACTCCTTGCTGTTATTTACATCAGTCAGTAGCTGTATCTTTGAAAGCCCAGCCACTTATTTGGTACCTAAGTGTGAACTTAAGGACATAATTTTGGAAACATATGAAAAACACAGACTCAAAGTAACTTTGGCATGCATATAAGTACGTGCTATTTACTCAAGGTCATACAGTAAGCTAACGGCAGAAGTAGAGATTTGGCTCTCTGGCCCTGTCCTAGACACAAGTCCACAACACCTGACTGATAACCGCCTAGAGCACATCCGGCCGCTGATTTCCAAACTCAGTAAAAAAGTGAGATTTAAGTTTGGTTGCCACAAAAAAAAAAAAAAAAAAAAAAAAAAAAAAAAAAAAATAAAAAAACACCCGGAAAAAAAACAG